TGCTGCTGCTGCTGCTGCTGCTGCTGCTGCTGCTGCTGCTGCTGCTGCTGCTGCTGCTGCTGCTGCTGCTGCTGCTGCTGCTGCAGCGGCTTGCTGCTGCGCTGTGCACTGCGGGGTGCTGCAGCGGAGAAGATCCATGTGCTGCGGCCGCACGCGCCCCACGACTGGGAGTGGCTGGAGTTGTTTTCCAGTGCGTTTGCTGCCACTGACTTGCAATTAAAATGTTCAACTTGCAATTAAAATGTTCAACTTGGAATTAAAATGTTCAACTTGGAATTAAAATGTTCAACTTGGAATTAAAATGTTCAACTTGGAATTAAAATGTTCAACTTGCAATTAAAATGTTCAACTTGGAATTAAAATGTTCAACTTGCAATTTAAAAGTTGAACTTAACAGAGTTTGTCAATTTCAACTAAGTTGGAGTTGATCAACTTAGTTCTAATTGGCCAACTTCAACTTAAGTGGCCAACTTCAACTGAGTTGGAGTTCATCAACTTGAACTAAGTTGGCCAACTGAGTTCTAATTGGCCAATTCGAACTAAGTTGACCAACTTGAACTTAGTTCTAATTGGCCAACTTAGTTCTAATTGGCCAACTTAGTTTTAATTGGCCAACTTAGCTTTAATTGGCCAACTTAGTTCTAATTGGACAACTACAACTTAGTTGGAGTTGGCCAATTAAAACTAAGTTGGCCAATTAAGACTAAGTTGGCCAATTAAAACTAAGTTGGGGAATTAAAACTAAGTTGGGGACTTAGAACTAAGTTGGCCAATTAAAACTAATTTGGCGAATTAAAACTAAGTTGTCGAATTAAAACTAATTTGTCGAATTAAAACTAAGTTGGGGAATTAAAACTGAGCTTCGAACTCTTCGAACTTGTGGCGAAGTGGAGGTTTTGTTGCGTTTAGCGGCTGAGTCCGAGGCCTTCGAAAACGTGCACGTGAAAAACATGAAAGGCCTCAGCAGCGGCGAAGAGGATTTGGCTGCGAACTTCGTGAAGAGGCGACTGCGCGAAGAGCCTTCGCGAGTGCCTTTTTTGGTGGACTTGGGGGCTCCGGGCAGCGTGGGCTACATCGGTGGGGCAGTTTCTTGAATAGTTTTCTGTTTTTCTTTTGTTTTTTTTCTTTTTTTCTTTTATTTAGTTTGCTTTTCCCTTTTTGGAGGCTCTGGAGAGCTGTTGAGGGCCTCTGCGCCAGTTAGTTCGCGGGAGGGGCCCGGCGCGCGGGATTTGTGTGCAGTTTCGCTTGCTGCTGCTGCTGCTGCGCTGCTGCTGCTGCTGCTGCTGCTGCTCGGGGTTTGCTGCAGCAAGGAATGTGCGCGGAGATGTTTCTGGGGTCCTTAGGGCCCACATAAACAGGGAAAATGTTTGCATAATTGACTTCTTAGACGCCAGCGGGATTGCCGAGGAGGCCCGCAGTGAGTTTCGGAAAGCTGACTTGAAACTAAACAATTAATGTTCAGTGGCATTGAATAATGGTGTTTTCTGTCAGTTAAATAGTATAATTAAGTGGCATTTAAAAGTAATCTTTAACATTAATTAATTAATTCGCGTTAAATTGCTGCTGGCAGTCCACGAAACACCTCGGGGGGGCCCTCATAAGACTGCCAAGTACGTGCGCGGGAGGGTTTAGGGTTTAGGGTTTAGGGTTTAGGGTTTAGGTATGTTCTGCGTTTGTGTTTGGCGTTTATGTTGCTGCTGGGTGCTGCAGAGGCGCAGCTGCTGCTGGAGCTTTTGAAGCACTTGGAGTTCCAGAAAGTGGACAAAGTGGTGCTGCCCGCAGTGCCCATTGCAGACGTGGGCACAGTTTCTTTGGCTGCGGAGTTGGGCTTTTTAATAAAAGCCAATTCTGCAGATTCTCTTTTGATGGTTCGCGACGGAGACTTGCCGCTGCCCCAAAACGACGTGGTGGTCGTCACGCGCAAGCTCCGTAAGGACTTGTCTTTTTTTTCTTTTTTTTTTCAAGTTTTCTTGTGGATCTTTTGTGCTGCTGCTGCAGTTTCGTTTTTAAGATATTTTGCATGCAGATTGGAGTGCAGAAAGCTGCAGGGGTAAACTCGGGGGGGCATTTCAGTCGGCCTTTTGTTTTGTTCAGCTGAGAATGTTCTTTGCAGATTCTTGGGGTTGCTGGCGCTTGGGTTGTTGTTTATGTCTTGTCTTTTTTTAGAAGAGGGTGTTTACTTTTATCTCAGAAGATTTAGACCTCTGAGTCTTCGCACTTGTGCAAATATGCGCATGCACTTCATGTTCATGTATACTTGAATGCACACATGGCGGAGGGCTGGGGCGTGGAATGCGGGGATATATTTGTGCATTTGAGGCTTTAAACATCTATAAAGAGATAAATGCGAGCAGTTAAGAAGAAACGGCCCAGTGGAATGTTCAAATGCGGTGAAGATCGCAGCAGAGGGGCTTCTTCGAAGGCTTTGTGCGGGTTTTCAGGCGCCATGTACACAGCAGTGAAGGCCTACCGGTCGCGCCGCGCAGCCCGCATTAGGCGGGAAATTTTGGATGTGTACGACGCGTTTCTGCACCTGAGTTACCACAAGCGGGAGCTGATTGAAAGGCAGACCCGAGCCTTGTTTGCACGCGCGGGCGCTGCGCTGCTGCTGCTGGGCCTGGCCGCGCTGGCCCGCCAAATCCACCAGCACAGAAAAAACAAAAGAGCTTTGCGGCGTTTCCGCAGCGCCCGGCTCGTGGATGACTTCGCGCCGCGGGGGGAAGAAGTGGCAGTGGAGGCGCGGCCGGGGCTGGGCGCCCGCGCCTTTCAGTGAACAAGTCTTAGTTGTTTTGCTGCGAAAAGCCCTAGTTTGTGTTTAATACTATTTAAATATATTTAAAGACAGTGCAGTCGCGGATTTGGACTGCGCACGCCGAAGGCTGCGCATTTTTTGTAGGGCTACGGCCTGGCAGTCAGCCAGCCTTGGGACCCCCCCGCGAAAGGCGGCTCCGCTGCTATTCCCCGAGCTTTTATCGAGAATCCTCTTTGCCTAACTCATCGGCCTGTGCCTTTTGAAGTAATATGCAGGGAAGCAGCTCTTCGGGCCAGCAGAGGCAGCAAATGCTGCCGCTGCTGCTGCTGCTGCTGCTGCTAGATCTGCAGCAAATGCCGCGCGCAGGGAGCTGCTGCGTGGCCTGTTCTCCCTCCGGGCCCCACTTGCATGCAGCTTCCAGCGGGGCCTCCCTGAGTTTACTAAAAAGTGTTCTTATTTTGTTCTTCAGTTCCGTGAAAACTGACTAAGTTCGCGAGATGCACTGCCTGCTTGTGGACCCTCCTGCCTAGGGCTTCAAACCTGAGACCTGCCCGCTTCCAGCCCCTCCGAAGCAGCAAATGAGACACAAAAAGATGCAAAAGGCAGTTTTGAGTTATTAAAAGCGGCACAAATAAATGAAATGCAGCTGAGATGCAGTTCAGCACAAAGGCGGCGAAGACCGCGTCCGCGGTGGCGGCAGCAAGTGCCTTGCGGGGAAAGCTCAGTACCTGAAGCACAAAAGAGCTTTTCGAAACGCTATTTCTTCATATAAAATGAATTAAAATGCACTTTACTCAATTGTTAGTGGAAAAACTAGAAGCGCGGAGCAAAAAGATGCAAATAGATATCCCTTGCTGCACACTGACATGAACTTGAACTCCTCAGCGGCCCAAAGCTGCTGGAGCCCCCGCTGCTCACCAGTACTTGTCTCGCACCTCCTCTTCCGCGTCATGAAACATCTTTTTAATAATTCCGTAAGTCACAATGCCTGGCCAAACCCACCACCAGTAGTAGGCGCTGAACTTGGCCCACGCCCTGCAGCAAAGCGGGAAAGCTAGCAGCAACTGCATGCACGGAGAAGCACACTTTGCAGCTTGCTGCTGCACTTAGGACTTGCACTGAAGCTGCTGCAGTGCAGCATTTGCGGCTTTCTGAACCCGCGGGGTCTGGGGCTTCTTCTCTGCATGCAAGTGGCGGAAACTGCGGCATTTGCGGTGTCAGTGAGCTGCTTTTTGAATTTTCTGAACAGTCCAGATGTGCAGAAGTTGAATTGCGTCACCTGGCGGGAAAAGTGTGCCAGAAAGGCCACAAAACCTTGAGCTGAAAGGGGGAAATGGTCTGCTGAATGAAGCCTCCGTAGGCCTTCATGCGGTTCTTCCACAGCAACTCCTGCTCAGGAGGCACTGGGTAACTCCCGAGAGTGACTTGTTCGAATTTTGGCGATCCTCGAGAGTGCAGCAGGGCGCCGGGCGTCAGCGCCCGCCGCAGCAGCGTCGGGTGAACCCGCATTCTGCTCTTTTCCGCGCGACTTTGCTCGAAAAAAGTACTCAAAAGGTCTAAAAAGAATAAAAAAGCAATTTTAGAAGCTTATCTGAAAGAATTGGACACTTTTTGCTGCTTGGAAAGGCATGCAACGCAGCATTCCCGGGGCTGGCGATCATCGGCAGCAGATCTTGCCGCGAGTTGTATTCCTTTTTCTGTTCCTTCTACAAGTGCTTTCTGTAGAAACCATGAATCATAAATCATATTTTGAACTTTAATTAGACTTTGAACAAGGACTTAGACTGGTGTGTGCTATTTTCTGTTCAATTTCGCTTCCTTCACTCCCTGCAGTGAGACGAACTTTGTAGAAATGAATTCACCCCTAAAGCCCTACACCCCTGAACCCCTGACTCCTCCCTTTGGCTTCCAAAGTCTCTGCCCCAAGCAGCAGCACAGGAGGCAGCACAAGCAGCAGCAGCAGCTATTCGCGTTGCGCTGCAGCAGCAGCACAGATTGTGAATGCCTGCTGCAGCAGCAGCGAGATACTGGGGCTGCAGCAGGCAGCAGCAGCGGCTGCGCCAGGCTTGCCCCAGAGCGAGAGCCTGGCCTAAGGTGCTGCACTCTAATAGTTAAAACTATTTTAATTAAAGAAACTGAAGCAGCAAAACTTTGCAAAAGGCAGCACTGACAGCAACTAGAAACTTAACTCCCCCCAAAAGACAGCCTAAGCCAAGAGCCAAAAGGTGACAGGCTTAAAAAGGCTCCTGGCCCAGCCCAGGGGCCCCCAGGCACTAGGGGGGCCCCCCAGGTACTTGGGGGCCCCCAAGCACTTTGGGGGGCCCCCCGGGCACTTGGGGGCCCCCAGGTACTTGGGGGCCCCTAGGCACTTGGGGGCCCCCAGGTACTTGGGGGCCCCCAGGTACTTGGGGGCCCCCAGGTACTTGGGGGCCCCCCAGGTACTTGGGGGCCCCTTAGAGTTCTGTTTCTTTGGGCGTAGGCTTTGGGGGCCTCGGGGCATCTTTTAGCTTTCTTTGCGAGCCTCTTTCACTCTCAAAAGAAACAAAAAGAAAGAATAAAAAGAGAAATAAAAATAAAAGAATAAAAGAATAAAAGTAAAAAAATAAAAGTAAAAGAATAAAAAGAAATGTTGAAAAAGAAATGCTCGAAAAGCAACTGAACAGAAAGCCCAGCAGCACAGCAGCTGGGCTGGCGCAGCACTGGCAGCAGCAGCTGCAGCGTCTGCTGCAGCAGCTGCTGCTTTCCCAGCAGCAGCAGCAGCTTCTGCTGCTGCTGCTGCTGCTGCTGCTGCTGCTGCTGCTGCTGCAGCTCGAAGGCCACGCAGCAGCCTATATTTCAAACAATGTGATCTTTTGCTACTCTTCACTTCGTTGCCCCTGCGAAAATGCTGGAGAGCCACACCGGCGACAATTAAGTCAAGCCAGCTAGCTAGCTAGCTAGCTGGCTAGCTAGCTAGCTAGCTAGCTAGCTAGCTGGCTAGCTAGCTAGCTAGCTAAGAGGGGCTTAGTCATTGGTAAGAAATGCAAAGTATTGATGAGGCCTTCCGCCAAAGGAAGGCTCCCTGGCTAGCTAACTTGGGACCTGAAGTGCTGATAAGCTAAAAAGCTAGCTGTCTAGCTGGCCAGCTAACGTCCGAAGAAGCAGCTAGCTAGCCAGCTAGCTAGCCAGCTAGCTAGCTAGCTAGCCAGCTAGCTAACTAGCCAGCTAGCTAGCTACCCAGCTAGCGAACAAGCCAGCTAGCTACCTACGCAGCCAGCTAACGAGCCTGCTAGCTAGCCACGCAGCTAGCTAGCCAGCCAGCCAGCTAGCCAGCTAGCTAGCTAGCTAGCTAGCCAGCTAGCTAGCTAGCTGGTGGCTAGGGGGCGGCGGGGGAGGCAAGTGCCAGAGCTTGAGGGTGCCTTCGGCCCCACAAGACAGCAGCAAACCCTCTTCGTTGAAGACAAAAACTTTAAGAATGGATTTTCTGTGGGCGCGCAGCAGCAGCAGACACTCCGCATTTGCTGCCATGCGTTGGCGCAGCAGCTCCTCGAGGTCCCCGGTCCACTGCTGCTGCTGCTGCTGCTGCTGCTGCTGCTGCTGCAGCTGCTGCAGCAGCTGCTGGTACTCGTCCGGCGGCTGGCGGCTACTCAGCAGCGAAGACAGCCGCGCATTTAGCTGCAGGGATAAGCGGCTGCTGAGCTGGCCGCTGGCTTCAGCCCACAAGAACTGCTGCTGCTGCTGCTGCTGCTGCTGCTGCTGCTGCTGCTGCTGCTGCTGCTGCTGCGCTGTCACAGCGGGAGCAGCAGCGGGCTGCAAAGGCTCCACTGTTTCTGACGGAGGCATCTCGCTGGCCCCCGATGCAGCAGCTGCTGTTGCTGCTGCTGCTGTTGCTGCTGCTGCTGCTTGCATGCCTGGCAGCAAGGCATCCAGCAGCAGCAGCAGCAGCGCCCCCTCTACTCCCCCCACAACCAAAAGCCCCCTTTCTCTCCACACAAGAAGACACGAGACAGGCTCTGCGAGGCACTTGACTCGAGTCACAAGCCGCACGTTTGCTGCTGCTGCTGCTGCGCTGCTGCTGCTGCTGCTGCTGCTGCTGCTGATATTGTACTGCAAGACAGCAACTACCCCAGGCTTGCTGCTGCTGCCCAGCAGCAGCAGCCGGCGGTCGGTATCTACGCATGCGCTGCGTGTGGAGCAGACACCTGAATAAAACGCGGAGGCGTTGCTGCTCTCAGTGCTGCTGTGAAAGAGCTGCTGCTGCTGCTGCTGCTGCTGCTGCTGCTGCTGCTCATGCTGCTGCTCTGTCACGTGCTTTGCTTTCAAACCAGGAATTTGAATGCCGCGCGGTCGAAAGTTGCTGCTGGATGCAATGCAGCTGAGCTGCCGCCGCAGCTGCTGCTTCTCCTGGTGGTGCCTCTGCTGCATCTGCTGCTGTTGCTGCTGCTGCTGCTGCTGCTGCTGCTGCAGCAGCAACCTGCCTTCGAGAGCCATGACGGGCAAGTACGGCGGCGCTGCAGGTGGCGTTGGCTCTCCTGCAGCTAAGGAGAGCAGCAGAGCGAGATGAAGCCCCCAGCTGCTGCTGCAGCTGCTGCTGCAGCAGCTGCTGCAGCTGCTGCTGTCGCACTGCTGCAGCTGCAGCAAACGTACTGCCCCGCTTCGGTGGCAGCAGAAGAGCAGCAGCCTGCGCTCATCTGCAGCAACAGCAGCAACAACATCTGCTGCTGAGAGCAGCCCTCCTTTTTGCACTGTTAAAGAAGACACAACCTCGGTAGTCGCTGCATGCAGCAGCAGCAAACTGCCGCTGCGACCTGCTGCCAATAAAACCGGCTGCTGCACGCCCTCGCTGCTGCTGCTGCTGCTGCTGCTGCTGCTGCTGCTGCTGCTGCTGCCGTTCTGTCTACTCACAGGCAGCGCCAGAGAGAGGAGACACAAGACGTCCACGGGCTCTTCCTTGATGAAGTAAATGACTCGAGGAAGGCTGGGCACTTTTAGCTGCTGCAGCTGCTGCTCGACTGCTGCTGCTGTTGCTGCTGCTGCTGCTTTGCTGCTGCCGCTAAAACGCGAAGACTGCAGCCCCAAAGAGCTTCCAAAGGAAACCGAAAGCGCCCGAGATCTGCTGCTGCTGCCTTGCGTTTGTGGGGTGCTGCTGCGGAGCAGCCCCAGGCCAGCAGCAGCAGCTGCTGCTGCGGGGTGCAGCTGCTGCGCAGCAGCAGCTGCTGCTGCTGCTGCCAGCTGCAGCACAGTGATGGTGCCGTCCTCTGCACCCACGAAAAAAACAGAAAGAGCAGCAGAGTAGCAGCAGCAAAGCAGCCGCCGCCTGCATGCCTTCAGCAGCTCGTGCTGCAGACAGAAGAAAGCCAGCTGCACTTGTTTGCTGCTCAGTGTGGGGCTCGCTGCCTGCTGCTGCTGCTGCTGCTGCTGCGCTGCTTCCTGCTGCAGCAAGGCTTCGCCCTGAGGCCGCTGCTGCTGCCGTTCTTGAGGCTGCCCCTGCTGCTGCTGCGAAGCGCAGTCTGCGTTGTCCTGCTGCTGCTGCTGCTGCTCTTGCTGCTCCTTGTCGTGCTGCTGCAGCTGCTGCAGCTGCTGCAGCTGCTGCAGCTGCTGCTGCAGCTGCCCTTCTCTCTGCTCATCCTGTCGCTGCTGCTTCGTTTGCTGCAGCTCCCCCTCCCGCTGCAGCAGCCCGCTTGCGGTGAGACGCTGCGCAGCATCCAGAAACGATTCCTCCGTCTGCTTCTTGTGCTGCTGGTGCGCTGCTGCTGCTGCTGCTGCTGCTGCTGCTAGTGCTGCTGTGGCTGCTGCGTTTAAAGGGGGCAGCCACGGCAGCGAGCTGAGACAAGGGACAGAAAGTGACATCAGGCAGCACTTGTCTCTTCTTAGGGGCAGGCAGGCAGCAAAGCGCATGCTGCTGCTGCTGCTGCTGCTGCTGCTGCTGCTGCTTCTGCTGCTGGCTTTGGTTCTGCTATTCCCCTCGTTGCTGCTGCTGCCCTTGCTGCTGCTGCCCCTGTTGCTGCCTGTGCTGTTCCTGCTGAGTCGGGTGAAGAGAGACGGCGCTGCTGCTGCTGCTGCTGCTCGTTGCCGCTTTGCTGCTGACTGCAGCCGTTCACAAGCAGCAGCAGGCAGCGGCTGAGGGGCCAGCAGCAGCAAAGCTGCTGCTTCCTTGTGGGGGCGCAGCAGCACGACATTGCGTTTGTGTCTTGTGGGGTCTACGCCCTTGACGCCAGCAGCCGCGCCAGCAGCAGCAGCAGCAGCAGCAGCAGCAGCAGCAGCAGCGCCAGCAGCAGCAGCGCGCCGCTGCTGCTGCCTCTCAGCGGAATAGTGCAGCAGCGAAACTCTGCTGCTGCCCATGCCGTACAAAGACAGCAGCACGAAGGGAGGGCAGGGGCCCCCCAGCAGCCAGGGTGCAGCAGCTGCGTCTGTGGCTTCTTGCTGCTGCTGCTGCTGCTGCTGCTGGCGCTGCTGCTGCTGCTGCTGGTAGTACGGGTGGAGCAGGCGAGGGTCCACGCAGCCCTCCTCTCTCCGCCAAAGCGCAGCAGCAGCAGCAGCAGCAGCAGCGGGCTGCAGCACTGCAACAGCAGCATCCCAAAGCTCCAGAAAAGCCCCCGGAGAGCGCAGCCAGCCGTGCAGCTGCAGCGGCATTGGCTGCAGCTGCAGCAGCAGCAGCGAGAGCGGGTGGGGCCGCTGCAGTCTGCTGCTGCAGCAGCGGCAGCAGCGCGCGTGCTGCTGCCGAATGCCCAGCTGCGCCTGAATGGCCACATCGCAGAGAATGTCTGGCCGCTGCAGCAGCTCCCCCACAAAAGCAGCAACTTCCGGGGCTTCTTGTTTCGACGAGAGGTCTCTTTTTGCTGCTGCTGCTGCTGCTGCTGCTGCTGCTGCTGCTGCTGCTGCTGCTGCTGGGGGGCCCCTGCGTTTGCGCGCGGCGGCGCGCTTGTCTGCGCCCTCCGCGCGGCCGCCGCCGCCGCCGCTGCTGCTGCTGCTGCTGCTGCTGCCCCCCGCTGCCCCCGCGCAGAAGGCAGCAGCAGCAGCAGCAGCAGCAGCAGCAGGAAACCGCGAAGGCTTCAAAGTACTCAGGCGAGACTCCAAACGACTCCAGCGACTGGGGGGCCCCCCTTTGTCCCTCAAGGGGGGCCCCCGAGGGTACAGCCGCTGCACCCGCCGCTGCAGCTCGCTGTACTGCTGCCGCTCCATGTATGCGTAGAAGCAGCACACGCACTGCCACTCTTGCTGCTGCTGCTGCTGCTGCTGCTGCTGCTGCTGCTGCTGGGGGCTGCAGCAGAAGCCGTCCTCGGACGCGGTAGCAGGCACCGGCGCGGAGTGCTGCCGCCAAGGCAGCCCGTTGCGGGCATCACCAGCAGCAGCAGCAGCAGCAGCAGCAGCAGCAGGAGCAGCAGCAGCAGCAGGAGCAGCATGTGCGATTTCAATTACTATTATATCTGTGGGGCGAGACAGGAGGCCCCCGTAGGAGACAGCAGAGACCACATGGAGTCCCAGCGGCGGAAGGGACCACCCCAGCTGCAGCGCAGCAGCAGCAGCAGCAGATTCTGCTGCTGCTGCTGTCGCAGACGCTGCTGCTGGAGCTGCTGCAGCAAACGGCTCCGCTGCATCTGCTGCTGCTGCTTCAGAGCCCAACACATCCTCTTGGAAGCTTCTGCTGCTGTTGCTGCTGCCCTCTTCGGGGCGAAAGGAGCCCGAGGGCTCACCACGCCTTCGCTGCTGCTGCTGCTGCTGCTGCTGCTGCTGCTGCTGCTGCTTCGGCAGCAGCTGCTGCTGCCGGCAGCGCCGGCTCCTCAGGCAGCAGCACGAGGAAAGGGCATGGCAAGGGCAGCAAAATGCTGGTTCCCTTTCTGCTGTTCTGCAGCAACGGTAGAAGCCCCTTTTGTTGCTTCGGGTTCCGTCTGCTGCTGCTGCTGCTGCTGCTGCTGCTGCTGCTGCTGCTGCTGAGGAGGGAAGCTCGCTGTCTTCCGGTTCATGAAGATGTGCTGCTAGTCCGTCTGCTGCAGCAGGCGTTGCTGGCGGAGCAGCAGCTGCATCCTTTGAGCCTGCTGCTGCTGCTGCTGCTGCTGCTGCTGGTTCTTCCGCGGAAACAACGCCGTTGCTGTCTGCTGCTGCTGCTGCTGTGGGTGGCTCTTCTGCTGCTGCTGCTGCTGCTGCTGCTGCGGGTGGCTCTTCTGCAGCTGCTGCAGCAGCGCCATTGACTGCATGTAGAGCAGCTGCTGCGACAACTTGCTCAGGAGCAGCAGCAGCAGGTCTCAGCAGCTGCTGCTCGGGCGACTGGGGCCCCAACCCCGAAACGGCCATGCTGCATGAGCAGCAGCAGCAGCAGCAGCAAGTGAAATAACTGGAGAAGCAGCAGCAGAAGCAGCAGCAAACGCAGCAGCAGCGTGTGTCGTCGCTGCAGCACTAGCGTAAGCCACTCGAGTTGACCTGTCGTCTGCTGCTGCTGCTGCGGCGGTCGCCGCAGTTGCTGTTTTGCTGCAGCAAGTGCAGCAGCAGATACATTATGCCCACTGGCACAAGGTAAACTGCTGGGGACTCAAATGTGTGCTTCCGCGGTGACAGCAGCAGCAAGAAAAAGCCGCAGCAGCAGCAGCAGCAGCAGCAGCCGCCGCCGCTGGACCTCAAAGGCAGGTCTTGCTGCAGCTGCTCTGTTGCAGCGAAGCAGCAGCAGGAACTCTTCAGAATTCGTTAGTGTGCAAAAGTTTGGATCCAAATTTAGGTCTCATGGACGGGAGCATCGCAGGGTTGCTGCTGCAGGTCACCCGCCACATACTGCTGCTGCTGCTGCTGCTGCTGCTGCTGCTGCTGCTGCTGCATAAAGGATTGTCTGCTGCAGGAAGCTTCTGCCGAAATCGCGCCGCACGCTAATGGAAACAGCTGCAGCCGAGCCGTCTAATTACTAAATTAAAACGGAAATTAAAGTAGTGAAGTGGAGGCTGCTGCTCATTGACTGAGCAGCAGCAGCAGCAGCAGCAGCAGCAGCAGCAGCAGCAAAGCCACCGCCACCGACCCGCATCAACACCTCCCGAAAGAGGGAACTGGCAATTTGC